GGCAAGCTCAATGTCTCCCATACTACTGTGCAGCGGGCCAAAAAACGAGCCGGGTTGTCGACCTTTAAGAAGGTGAAGGTTGCGAACCGAGAATTCAAACAAAACACGTCGGCAAAGCAGCGGTCCCGAAAGCTGTATATGAATCTGCTCACAAAGTTCGACTGTGTCGTCATGGACGACGAAACTTATGTGAAGGCGGATTTCAAGCAGCTTCCGGTACAGGAGTTTTATACCGCATCTGGAAAAGGGAAGGTGGCTGAAATTTTGAACTTTCGAAGTTCCCAAAAAAATATCTCGTCTGGCAGGCCTTATGCACGTGTGGTCTAAAAAGCGGCATTTTCATTACTACGGGAACCATCAATCAAGAGATCTACGTCCAGGAGTGCCTGGAAAAGCGGCTGCTACCATTCCTAAAGCAACAGAATAGGCCTGTGCTGTTCTGGCCGGACATGGTGAGCTGCCACTATGGGAAAAAGGCAATCGAGTGGTACGATGCGAATAACGTGATTGTGGTACCTAAAGATCACAACCCTCCGAACAGCCCAGAACTCCGCCCTATCGAGCGGTATTGGGCCGTGGTCAAACGGAATCTAAAAAAAAAAAAAACTAATAAATCCATCGAAAATTTGCAGCAGTTTAAATCTAACTGGCGTTTGGCAGCGCAAAAGGTCGATGAGACCACTGGACAAAATTTAATGGAAGGTGTTAAGCGGAAGGCACGGCAGTTTGGATTTGGCATACCAAAAGAATAAACGAACATTTTTACCTTTAAATATATGAGTTGAACGAACAAAAGACAAATAAGAAGATTTTTGTGATATTAATTTTGACTGAAAGAAACCATTTTTTGTCGACCAATTTTTGCGCGTTCCAGTCTTTACACAATCTAGTTCTATATGGTATAAATCATCATACTAAATGACTATTATAAGTAAAATGTCATAACAAGATAGCTTATGTAACGTTATATCAACATTAGACTGAACTTGGCGTTAATCTGCACCAATTTTTTGTGACATATTGAAAAATAAAACGATTCAAAAGACCGATTCAAAAAGATTGATTAAATCGGTGAATCGATTATTTAAAAAAAAATGAATCGATTCACTAAGATCGATTCTAACCTCAAGATCACCCAATCCTAATCGGAACCGGAACCATGTATCCTGAAAGGTCAAATTGGAAAAACATCCTGGGCAGGGTGCCATTCAAGAAACCTTTATCAATCTTTTGAGGCCAATAGATCAATAATCGGTTCAAAATGGATTTTTGGAAGCGAGTTGCAGTCTGGGTCTTTTTAGACCCTAAACAATGGGTCACTGTTTTGTAGCGCTACTGAAAGTTTTTTTTTACATTAAAATGTTCGTTTCCGACGAAAGTTAGGAAAAGTGAGGAAAATTAGGGTCTTTATCATATTTCGTTACAAAGTTACAGCTTTTTTAAATGCACTAGGAAGGTTAAACCTATTGTAATTGTTAATTATTTGAAAAAGCTTATGAAATATCCTAAACAAGAATTAAATTAAGGAAAGACTTTAATGTTCTAATAATAAGTACTAGCCTATAATAATAGTAAGAGGAAGTACACTGGAACCTCCATTTACGAACCAAAACGGGGGTTCGTAAATCGAATTAGTGCGTAAAAAGAAAACTCGTTATTTGGGATTTACTTCGTAAAAAGAGGTTTTCGAAAATATTGTCAAATACCCCACAATATGGATATTTTTGGAATCGCAGTGACGTGTAGGGACCGAAAATCAATGTGTGACGCCATTTTGAAATCCCAGATGGCGGCTTCCGGTTACAGGAAAACATGGAATTTCTGTCAAATACCACCCCACAATATAGGTATTTTTGGAATCGGAGTGACGTGTAGGAAACGGAAATCGATGTCTGACGCCATTTTTAAATCCAATATGGCGGCTTCCGGTTACATAAAAACAGAAAAATAATGTTAAATAACCCACAATATGGGTATCTTAAGAATCGAAGTGACGTGTAGGAAACGGAAATCGATGTCTGACGCCATTTTTAAATCCAATATGGCGGCTTCCGGTTACATAAAAACAGAAAAATAATGTTAAATAACCCACAATATGGGTATCTTAAGAATCGAAGTGACGTATAGGGACCGGAAATCGATATCTGACGGCATTTTGAAATCCAAGATGGCGGCTTCCGGTTACAGGAAAACAGAAAAATACCGTTGAATACACAACAATATGGATATTTTTGGAATCGGGGTGACGTGGGGGAACCGGGAATCCATGTCTGACGCCATTTCGAAGTCCAAGATGGTGACATCCGGTTACAGAAACACTAGAAAATACTGTCAAATACCCCACAATATGGGTTTTTTGGAATCGGGGTGATTTATTAGGACTGAAAACCCATGTCTGACGCCATTTTGAAATTCAATATAGTGACTTCCGGTTACATAAAAACATAAAAATAATGTTAAATAACCTACCATATGGGTAACTTATGAATCGGGGTGACGTGGTGGTATTTGGCAATTTTTCTGTTACCGGAAGCCGCCATCTTGGATTTCAAAATGGCGTCAGACATCGATTTCCCGTCCCATATTGTGGGGTTTATGGCAGAATTTCCAAGTTCTTATGTAACCGGAGGTCGCCATCTTGGGTTTCAAAATGGCGTCAGACATTGATTTTCGGTCCCTTAACGTCACTCCGATTCCAAAAATACCCATATTGTGTGGTATTTGACAGAATTTCCAAGTTTTTCTGTAACCGGAAGTCGCCATCTTGGATTTCAAAATGACGTCAGACATCGATTTTCGGTCCCTACACGTCACTCTGATTTCAAAAATACCCACAACGTGGGGGTATTTGGTAGAATTTCCCAGTTTTTCTGTTACCGGAAACCGCCATCTTGGATTTCAAAATGGCGTCAGACATTGATTTCCGGTTAATACGAGTCACTCCGATTCCAAAAATACCCATATTGTGGGGTATTTCACAGTATATCCCAGTTTCCCAAAATCACAAAAAAAACTCCACAGCTAAAAAAAGTAGTGTAAATTTCCGTTACTATGATGCACATAAATGGAGCGTCATATATCATACAAGTTGATTATAGATCGTGTAAATTTATGAGACATGTCACGCAATATTCCATATATTGTATGCAACTGTCCACTTTTGTTTGCAACATTTCTTGCAAGCTGCTAGTTTACGTGAAAAGGAAGTTTACATGTATGAATGTTTGCATGCATGGATGTTTACATCGTCAGTAAAATTCAGAATTTTTTGGTGTGTCATTATTCGGGATTTACTTCATAAAAAAAACCTCGTTATTTGGGATTTACTTCGTAAAAAGAGGGACGTAAATTGAATACTGCGTAAAAAAAGACTTCGTAAACGGAGGTTTCAGTGTATCAAACTTTACGTGTGCCCCGTCGAATATTTACACAACCGGGTATAGGCTAATAATGTTCTCAATTAACATCTGTAGAAGTGATCAACGAACCACTTAGTTGAGGCCCTCGAAGTCCCAAAAAACGGATTCCCGGAAATTCGTGCGTCCATCAATTTGCAACAACCCCTCGCCGCAATTTAACCAATCGTTACTTTATTTCAAATATTCGCTTCACGATCCTACGAAGGATAATGCAATAACGAAATCCTCTCATTTCACTGGTCCGCGATTTCTTTTCTTCCCTCAACCCATCCCCGTTATCATCGTTCAGACGGAATGAAAAATCAGGGGCACGGAACTTGGACCGCTCTTCCCAGCAGCAGCTCAGCAAGCCCATAAACGGACGTCCATCATCAAGGCGTCGACTGTGGGAGGTTGTTCCATTTATATACCTAACTGTGGGTTTGCAAATATGCACATTTTCGCTGATAAGAAACGCTAACCGAAACGAAGCAGCACAAGTAAAGGATTGAAAGATCTCAATCTGGGTGAGCAGGTGGGGGACGGCTCGAAACTTGCAGGACTGGAAAAGTTGTTTCAACAAAAGAAACGGTGGGAAAACTTGTTAAGCAGACACCGCATCGCACGGCCATCGAAGGGGTACGGACGGAGAAAGCTTTTTTTTTTTAATAAAGGCAAGTTGCTTCTTTGTGATGAGAATTGGACTTGAGTAGAGGCAGGACGGGCAGCCACCAGGGAAAGCAAACTTTTCTGTTGTTTGCCCTCACCCCCTCCTGCGCAAGAATTTCCGAACATTTTTTCCACAGAGCTGATGGGTTCTCGGAATATGAGGATGGAAAAAAATGGGGCAAAAAACCGAGCTGGCCTATAATAAATGAAACATGAAACCTCGGCAGAGTGGCCGGAAGACAAGTTTCAACAATCAAACGGGGAGCGCAAAATTTCCACTGGCACTGTCGGAGCAAACAAGTTGCGAGAAGCTTAAAATTTATTATGCTGCAGAGGAAATTTGATAGCACCGTGCGCGTAAAAATTAGACGAAATTTGAGGGTGGAGTGCGTGCGATTGTTTGTTGAAGATGTTTTCGAATTTGAAGCACGTTTACACAATTTTAACGTACGATCAAATAGTAGTTTTGATATGATGTTTATTCGGAAATATTGCGGTCGTGTTGTGGCAAAAAATCGTTAAATCATAGTATCAAGCCTTGTAACTAATCCAAGCAATTGAAAAGCACCCCCTCTCAAGCAAATCAGTACAAAAGCAACCTCTAGGTTTGTATCACGTTCAGCGTGTGAAAAGTGCTTCAAGCGTTAATAGACAGCATCCGATCGGCGAAGATTACTTGTCATTCAGTAAGTGCGTACAATGTAGCGATAGATAAAAGCAAGTACCTCCTTCGAGAAGCAAGATACAGAAAAGCCGCCCCCTCAGCGCCCACTTGAGCTTATGTGACACACGGGCACACTGTCACTGTCGATTAAGCTTGCGAACTCTGCAAATTTTGCATCTATATCGTGTGTGGTGTGCAATCATCGTGCTCAATCTGGTGCGTTGAGTGGCGTACGAATATTTAACTAGATACAATATATCTGTCAATACACACTTTTGATTCGTTCCTTCGGTTGACGGAGCTATTGCTGGTGCTTCGCCTTCGGATGCTGCCGGAGCATGATCCATCTCGTTTTTCGCTTTGACTGGCACCGGAGCCAGTTGTGCCAGAAGGGCCTACTCCTGTCGCACCGCCACCTCCTCCTCCTCCTCCTCCTGGGCTAGTACTACTTGCTCCCATTTCGACACTACCACCACCACTTTTGAAGTAACTTCCGTCGTTCATTTTTCTTCCTTCTTTGACACTCATTCACTTAGGGGATTTTTTACTTACTTTTATCTGATTTTTTTTTTTTCACTTCTATCTCATACCCGTTCGTTGGCGTCGTCAAATTCACTCAGCTTCAAAGGGCCTTTACGTAGCGTAGCACATTCAAACCGGTGGAACACACTGCTGCCTCAGGCTAGTACTGGCACCAACAACGTGTCGTCGGGAACAAATAGGGTGACGATGATTTAGTTTGCCCATTACATGTAGGTCATCAGACGATTTGGTCAACCCACCTTTCAAGAATATTGTACTATTTTATCTAAAATCTTGGTCGCATCGCCTGCTTAAGCGAATTTTGACCCATCTCCTACCAAACTATCCAACTCCGTAGCATCTATGGGGGCGTCGGTGAGTCGCTGGCCTTCCGTTAAGTAGATGTTACATAACAATATCCTTCCTTTCCCCGGAACGGAAAAGGTGGGCGTGACCGGCAATGGTAATTGTCATGCTTTTCCTGTTCTGAACTTTGATTGGAGAACTATTCACTCTCGAACAGAGCTGGTAAATATCACGGCCATCATGTGACGATGAGAAAACAGGCCCTCTCACTATCACGAGATGAAACTACCTTTCATTAGCTTTGTTGTCATCTTTCAATGATCAAGCACTCATGAGAATAATTCTTATGCGGTTTTGACATCAACATTTCTAACTGATTTAGATTAACTTAAGCAAACAACCGTATGTAATCGGTAGAGTGAATATATATTAAGATTTCCTCGGTATAAGTAACTTTATTATAGTTGAAGATGCTAATTTCGAATAACTGACTGAAGTGGTAATTTTTATACGATAGATGAGGAGGAGATGAAAGTATAGAATTGATAGTTCCGTTTAGATTACGGCAGTGCGAAAATTGCATATAGAAGAGTAGATAGCGAGCTAGGACAACTTTTAAGGAAGGTACAAATCGGTTTTATCATATCTCTTTACCAAACTCCCCCTTTGGAGAGGGATGGTGAGGGGTGCCCCCCCCCCTCGCCACCCACCACTGGCAAAAAGAGATGATCGCCGACCGCTCAAGTACCAACGATGTGTTTGAAACAGTTCTACCGACTTTTACCGCACTCCAGTTGTTATTCGAAGGAAGGCATCCAGTCGTAGGTTTGTAACTTTTTTAGGTAACTTTATTAGCATTACATCAGTTAGTAATTACGATAATCACAACACTGCCACGTTCAGTCATGGCAAAAAATTCGATGAGATTTTAAAGAAAGTCTCTATCATCGCTTTCTCATCTAATGATAGTGACAGAAGTATCTCTGTAAATATCGCTTGAGATCTCTAATTGAAAATGACATTTGCCAGCCCTGCTCCCAAATAGTTTTCCTTAAGCAATCAGAATAAGAAGGTTAAAGTTGATACATGACAGTTGCCAGTATGCAATATATCTTCAACTTGGAGCAATACATCCTTATGAAATACTGAAAAATCTTTTACACTCAGAAAACATGTTGCATCCCGACCAGAAGGAAATAACAAGATCAATGCGTCTTGCGCTACTTTGTTACTCAGATTTGTGTAACACCAGATGTTACAATTTATATCCCGGATGTACTTAAAATGACAAAACATACTCTGATTGGCAACAGAACCAAGAATGGGAAAATTCATTCACTCGAGCGAGCACCACAGAATCAAAATAGTCATCCTTACCTACAAAAAGATTGCCGAATGAGTGTAAATTATTCCAACCAAGCGACTCTGCTGATAGACTTGACACCAGAGATAGAAATTCTCACTCAGCTGCACGATAAGCATTTCTTCACTCAAGCGAGTGTACCCCATTAGGCATAAATACGTTAGGCATACGGACGTTAGGCATAATGGGCGTTAGGCATAATGGGCTTTAGGCATTAAGTCATTAGGCATAATGGATGTTTGACATAATATACGTTAGGCATAATGGACGTTAGGCATAAAATACCTTGCTGCTGTGCAACTCTAGAAAACTGTTTCGAGCATGGTAAACAATGAAATCCATTATTTATCATATCATAACTGACGTAGCTACATATTTACTTAGATCCAAGATTAGTAGCGATAGCGGTTAGGTAATCTGGCAACAAAACTCAGCATAGTTTTTGACTACATCTTGAAATCAATCGCATATAGAAATAATAAAGCACACATTTGTTGCAATATATTCATTGCATATTGCAAGTCCGGGAAACTTTGAGATTTGGGCGTAATTGGTTTTGTAAACAGACATGTCAATCGCTGATCGTGAATAAAAGAAAAATCTCGTGAACAAACTATACCAAATGATAGAGGAACCATTCATCTGCCTGTTTGTGTTGTTAGTTTTTTAGATTGAGCTTTAATTCGCGAGAAATCGTCAAATGAAGTGTTTGTTTACAAAAGCAATTACGCTCTAATCTCGAAGTTCTCCAAAAATGTCAAAGAAGAAAAGGTTTTTTTCTCAAAGAATAGCTCATGAAATAAAGAATGGTGAATTCTGTGATTTTTCATTCAATAACAAACAAAAAACAGGCAAGGTTGAATAAAAGATGATGCCAAAGAACAACGCATGAAATGAAGAATGGTGAATTCTGTGGTTTTTCATTCAATAACAAAAATATATCTGGTGCTTCCAGGATTTACTCTCATACTTTTCGATACAACGATTAAGTATTTGTTGTCATCAGAATGAATACTAGCAGAACCGATTGCTGATGTGAGGGAGCAATACTTCCATGAACAGTGACGAGTTGCCGAAACAAACAAGCAACTGTGGCAAACGTACCATCTGCAACCAAATACTTTGCCTGTCCAAGACGTCGCAAGTTTTCATGAGTCCCAAAAATTAAGGCTCTTTTGTTATTGTCACCGATGTCAGCAATCATCAATACACGGTCCCCATTATGTATCATCCTTCTGGAATTCATCGGGTAGATTATGCCTAACGTCTATTATGCCTAACATCCTTTATCCTTACGTCCATTATGCCTACCGTACATTATGCCTAACGTCCGTATGCCTAACGTCATGTACCCCACTCAAGCTACTTTTCGGTGAGTTGTGAACCGTTCACATTTTCATCTCTCCTTTTTCACCGATAATTCATTATCCTCGCTCATACATAATCCGAAAATATCTCTCTTCAAAACCCAACGAAAATACTTTTTCATCACCCATTTGGCTCTGAAAACTACACTGAAACAAATCAACATGTACCGTTTATTGGATCCATCTTATAACATAGCAATGTCAGCAGATTTATTCATTCTATGTGATGATTGATAGATTCCATTGGATTATCACTTAAAAACTATGACTGCGATATGGAATGATTTCTATCGTAATTTCACATACTTAGTACTTGATAATACTTTGCTTCGAACGTGGTTAGCGAAGGTAAGAATTTTATGAATATTGTCTGATATATTTCATGGTGAAAAACTGTTGATATGTCATGGGTGGGAACAGACATCTAGAAACTAATGGAAAATCATATAAGTTTGCACTATGAGAAAATTCAGTAAAATATACCTGTTTTCATGATGAATATTGCTCACTAAACTATATATCTTATAAGATAATCATGTATATTTTATTGGAGTTGCTTTTACTGATTTTTGACGTTTGTTGATATGTCGCGTGTAAATAGACATGTAGAAACTATTGGACTGTCATTTAACTTTGCAGTTAGGAAAACATGTATATCTCATTGGAATAGCTTCCTTTGATTTTTGAGGTTTAGAGATTGTAAACAGATCTATCCCAATCATTAAATAGTCATATAGAAATGCCTTTTAAGAAATCCAACAGCAAGCATTTGTTTTGGCATGTTTTTCTGGGATGAATAACGCTCCCAATAAAATACATCTTACATGATTGTTCTTTATAAATTATTGAAACAATTTTCAACGATGTTAACGTACACTCATTAGAATGATTAGTTGAACTAAATACTACTAACAACAATGATACTGTATTGAATAATCTTTGTTTGTTATTGTTTCATAAGATAATTGGTTCCGGAAAAGAATGTATTGAGATTGAAAAAAAAATTGATTCTACTGTAATATTTACTTTGCTATGATTCTAATTGTAAGCCTTCTACACGGCTAATTCAGATTCCAGCCCTAAGTAGTATTCGAACTTCATGAGCCAGTTCTATCAAATCATATAATTTAGTCGTTGATTTATTGCACACAGGTGCATTAAGAAAGATTTGAACAAACCACACCACCGAAACGGAACATAAATTTGTCAGTGCTATTTGTCTTCACTCTAGCAAAACGAGCATAACGTTGCACTACATTCCATGTCGAGAGAGCTGTTCTTACTTTATGCTATTTGAACGAGCTCAATCTTGAAGTCAGCCGTGGCCCAGTGGAATCGAGCACAGACACCGAAAGCATCACACCTCAACAGTTCTTGATCGAATCCCAAAACAGCTACAATAAAAAAAGGCACAACTGTGAAAGCTCCCACTGCCTGATGTTTATTTTTTCGAATTTATTTTTAGAAATCGATTAAATATATGTGTCAAAAGAAGAAGTAAATTTCATGTTATTTTCACATAAACTTTACTTCGATTGATTTATGACACATATATTATATTGTGGTGAAAAGTATAGCTTATGCTTATGGGTTTCAAATCCATTTCAGTTAATTATTATAATTTGATCGATCTTCATTTATCATATGACGATCATATAAAAGTTACCAAATTATCAGCATTGTAAATGTATCAGATATTCATATAGAATTTACCTGACACATTTTCAATCACATCATTTTCAATGGATTATCTTATAACGCAAATGTATTAGACTTCCACATAAAAGGAATATGTCAAATTCGTTCAGTGTATCAAGGGCGAAAAAAATACCACCCCAAATTGTTCGACTCCAACCCAATGTGATGTAAACAGTTGAGGCTTAGGAATTCTCCGTCTCTTTTGTTCTTCCGCTTATTAAATGGTTGACGGAGTGTGACATCATACT